CAGCTATAAGGAGAAGACCTTGAGCAGTTTTAATCAAGGGAGACGGATGGCGAGAGTGATCCTGATTATTGAGGAAAATGTGCAAAGTGAACAGGCAGTTAATAGTTTTCTCAGAACTCTGAGATAGTACTTTTAAAGAAAGATTCTTTAAATAAATGTTGGTGCCTTTTAAATCAGTGATTTACTCTCTCACCCTAATATAATCCTCAAAAAACAATCTCACCTTCAAAGCAATTTTCCTGGCCTCCATATACTCCTGAATCAAGCATGTGCCTATGGGTGTGTACCATACACACAATAACATACACAAACTTATTTTCCTTCCAGGTTTCCCCATCAACCAAATTATTTCCAACACCTCCTTACTTCCCTCTTTATTGAGAGACAAAAAGCCTGTATTACACCTGTACAAACAAGAGGTACCAGGTTTGTTTTGTTGAACAAAACACATTTGCCTAGCATGAAATGAAATGATAGCTGGCATACTGTTAGCAAATCTTTTTAATTCTGTCATTTTAAAAGGCTTTAATGTATTTTGCTTTATTTTAAAATTCAGCATCCCTAGCTCCTGCCTGATTTTTAACCACCTTAACTCCTCCTCTGTCATATGCATATTTCTGGCATTCTGGCACAGTTTTGGTATGTGTGAAGAAGTTGGGCCCTCTTGTTAGTTTTCTTGTTTTTATTTTTGTCTCCTGAATACACATACATACAAACACACACACANAAAATTTCTACGTTAGGGATCCTCTTCATTCTAAAAAAATAAACTTGTGCTTTATACTTGTGGAGTCAAGTAGAAGCATATTAGAAAGGTCATAGTCAAGGGTTAGTGATCATAAGGTTGATGATTCAGGTCTGCTTCCTAGGACAAACTATTTCAATTTTGATCATACACAGTATTTTCTGAAACAAACATTCTACCAAAGGCAGTTTGCTATAACACTCATAGTTTCAAGGTTTAGAGTAAATAAATGATCTTAGAAGCTGTTAAGCTTTTCACTATTACAGGAAAATTCTGCCTTTTTAGATGGCCAGAGGATCAACTTCATTGTGACAACATACAAAATAAGAAAAGATTTAGAGTAGAGTAACTGACATGTAAACATTCATTGACCTCTCTTATCTATTAAATGAGGCTAATGGTTAATCCAGTGCTTTATGCTTTCAAAAATCACTTGGGTCAATAGCTTGTCATTCTCTTTGGGGACAATGTTTGTCAAAGCTTTGGGGGACTCTGATTTTAACTTATTTTAAATAATTTAATTAATGCCAACTCAAAGATATTGGGACCTATACATTTATTTTTACAGATTTGAACTTTTCTAATACTGATTTATGAACATTCCCAATGTTCATTACCCTTCTCAGAGTTGTTGAAAATCCCATTTGATATTAGCTTTTTAAATTTTGTTTTGGTTAGAGCAGAAAAGGTTTTAATTCTGTAGGAATTTATTGATAATTTCCTGTTTTTGTTCATTGCTTTTATATGAGAAGGTCCTGCTCCAACCATAGTTAAAATAACTATATTTTCTACTTTCAATGGCTTATGAAAAATGCATAACTCTTGAATCAGCTGTTTTATGATATGATGAAGAATACAATTTATTTTCCTCTCTAATTTGTAATCCCAAATTTATCACATAAAAATGCCTTATATTTCTGATTTCCCTTCTGGCCTGTTTATTTCCATTCATATGTGTCTCTTCTTGTACAAGTACTACTCTATTTTAATTATCATTGTTTTAAAGTATGTTTTAATATCTGATAATTTGCTTTTTCATCTGACTATTTTTTCCCCAAAACATTTTCAGCTAGCGCTATTTATCTTAAAGAAAAACTTTAGAGTTATTATCAATTTCCTCCTTACTCTCAAAAAAAAATTCCCATTGGAATTTTGTTGGGAAATATACTATATTTGTAAATTAATTTGAGATGAATTAATGTTAATTA